ATGGAATTTAAGAAAAACAAAATGTCATGAAGAACCTAGGGGTAAGACAGGAATAAAGACACAGACCTACTAGAGAATGGACTTGAGGATATGGCAAGGGGGAAGGGTAAGCTGTGACAAAGTTAGAGAGTGGCATGGACATATGTAAAATAGATAGCTGGGGGAAGCAGCCGCATAGCACAGGGAGATCAGCTCAGTGCTTTGTGACCACCTAGGGGGCTGGGATAGGGAGGGTGGGAGGGAGAGAGACACAAGAGGGAAGAGATATGGGATCATATGTATAACTGATTCACTTTGTTATAAAGCAGAAACTAACACACCATTGTAAAGCAATTATACTCCAATAAAGATTAAAAAAAACAAAAAGCAAAAAAAACCAGACTCAGCACAATGTTGTTTTCCCTTCACTGAGACATGAGAAAATGGGAGATTCTGACGTACATTTCTCTTCCACTAAAATTACAATTAGATTGAAAACCCATATGACCGCAGTTTATTTTCATAAGCACCTATTAACTGAACAAAATACAAGTGAGAAAGGAAGAGGATAAAGAGAAAGAGCAGCTAGCAGGAAACTCAGGGTAAGAACAGTTATAACTAGAATTTCTCAACTCCACATACGGCAACTGATGGGTAAGAAACTGTGAAAGAGTCAATGCTTCTGAAATTTCTGCTCTTGTTAAAATTGCAATCTGTGGATTATTTTCATCAAGGTCAAAATTTTCAATGAGAAAATACAGGGCGTTTCAAGATGTTATATTTGTCAATAAATTTCCTCTTTCTTCTAGTCATTCACACTTGGAACAGCCATCTGTGATCTGGCCATCAAACTAAGTCAAGTCTCCATAGTTTGAAGACTGGGAAGACCTTGCTCTGATACATTTGTCTTTTTAATAATAATAAAGTCTTCCTCTGACCTCTAGCCAATTAGGCAAAGTAATCAATAGAGCCCTCCCTGTGAGCTAAGCATTGTACCAGCCATCAGTTTCCTGACACTCAAGCTGGATTCTCCACAGTTCCAGAAATGTGTGCTGATGATCCGATTAACAAAAGTTTAATTAACAATTGACAAAGAAAGGTCAGGAGTGTGTATCCAGAAGAAAAAACCCTCAGGCCTTACCATCATCCACAATATCCTGGGCTGCCACGGAGTTTGTGTACACAACCAAATCAGAGAGCTCTCGACAGAGCTTCATGGTTTTCCTTCGGCGGCCCAACCTGTAAAATACACACCAGGACTCATGACATTTTAGAGCTGGAAGAGGTTTGGGCTTCTGGTTACTCCACCTTCCCTACCTGCTCCTGATGGAGCCAGGATTAGAAATCAAGTGTGATTTTTAGTTCAGCATTCTCTCCACCACAACACCATACTCATGTGGCTTTTTTCACCGCTCAGCCAGACTTTATTCACAGTCTCTTCTCCTGAATTTGTGAGTTCTATTGTGAAGGGCTTGATTCCCACCATTACCCAACTGTGGAGTAAACCAGAATTTATCAGGGAACCACTCTGCTTTGTCAGAAGGAGAACCTGGACTAAAAAGCAGTAGGGATACTGTACTGTCAGTCACAAGAATCCTATATCTAAAGATAAATACACCAAACTTTCCATAGTCATTATCTTCTAGAGGTATAAGTACAGTGAATTTTGATTTCTTCTTTATGCTTTTTCTATATTCTTCAACTTCTTAAGACAAACATCCATTACTTACTCTCTCTGTACGTCTATATCTTCTGTATCCCATAAACCACTCCTAGGATCTGCTGTACAACTTTACAAATTCTGCTACTTACTCTTTGCCACAGTAAAATTCTCCATAGATTATCACATTCTCCTCACAGACACACTTTTCTCCTCTAGGAAAACATATGATCATTAAAAACTTCAATCCCCACCAAGGAGATACACAAATGGCCAATAAGAACATGAAAAGAAGCTCAACATTAGTCATTAAGGAAATGCAAACCAAACTACAGTGAGATACCACTGCATATCTACTAGGTTGGCTATAACCAAAAAGGTAGGCAATAATGAGTGTTGGCAAGGATGAGGAGAAACTGGAATGCTCATATAGTATTATTCATAATAGCCAGAAAGTGAAAACAACCTAAATATCCTTCAGCTAATGAATACATAAATGAAATGCACTATATTCGTACAATGGAATATTATTCAACAATAAAAAGGAATGAAGTACTGATACATTCTACAACATGGATGAATTTTGGAAATATTATACTAAGTGAAAGGAGCCAGACAAAAAAGGTCAAATATTGTAGGATTCCATTTATATGTAATGTCCAGAAAAGGCAAATCTATAGAGACAAAAAGTAGATTAGTTGGTACCAGAGACTGGGGGAGAGAGAGATGGAAAGTCGCTGCTAATGGTAGAGTTTCTTTTTGGTGTGATGAAAATGTTCTGGAATTAGATAGTGATGATATAGATTTATTCACTCAGTGAATATTTATTGAGCACCTATTGGAGATAAAACAGTGAACAAATCAGACAAAAATTCTTACTGTAATGATACTTATATACATTCAACAAAAGAATTAAGGCCAAAATGTGTCAACAACTCATTTTGCCAAGAAAGAAGACATGCACATAGACAGGTATAAAAACCAATGGGAAGAAGAATCCATGTTCCTCCTTTACCACGTAATTAGGAAATTCTCTAGCCATTGGTAAAAATCTGGTTTTGTGAAAGCAAATGATTATAAATCAATGTGAGGGAGGTAATGCCTAGAAATGACAAGTAAAACTCCCAGGACACTCCATGACACAGAGAACTTCTGTATAAATTTAGCCCTTTTTAATCCTTATCTTAAAATTGAATTAGTTTACTGAAGTCCCAAAAGGACACCGTCATCAATGCTTGAGCCTCGATAGCTATTACGGGCAAATCTCTAATTGACTTAAGAGCAGCATGCAACGTGATTTCATGTGATAGCTTCCCTGGCTATATGATTCAGAGTCAAGCCTTTCTCAAACTTATATTTGAGAACATTCACAGCAGAGGTCTCCTGGAAGGTAATTCTATTTCTCTTATATCCTTTACTGTAACTACATATTGAATTTTCTGTACTCTAAGGGTAGGAACCATACACATCTCCTTTGCCCTCACTAATTAGTTACTATTTTATGTATGGACATTCTGTTGGAGTGAAGCTCAAATATAAAATTTAAGTGAACACTAAATGTGATTCATTCCTATAGGACCTCTATGCCTCCAATTTCGTTTAGTTTCAGTCTTATGATAAAGTCACAGAGGGGTGTGTGTGTACATGTGCACGTGTTTGTATATTTATCTATCTATGAAGGATATAATTTACTTTCCTTTGCGAGACTTACTGTATACATAATTTGCCAGAAAATCCTGTATCAAATCATGTGTCACAATTTGGGTTCTACAATTTTGGCCATTTTACTCATCCCAAATTCTACTGGCAACAATAAAGACAACAGCAGCTAATATTTTTGAGCACTTAGTGAATTGGAGTAGGGCTCATCAAGCCAAATAGTTTAATTCCTTTAATCCTTACAATGACCCTAAGAAATAGATACAAATGAGGAGCCTAACTTGCCCCCATCTTAAAGTTGGAGGAACAAGAGTTTGAAGTCTGGCTGATTTCAGATCCCTGACTCTTCACATGTTCTTGTCATCTATCTTCTCCTTCAGTCTCCTGTGAGAGCCCCTCTGTACTAGTTCATGTGGTCCCTCTCTCTTCTCTGAAGATATCTTTTACCTGACAACTGCTACAGCCAGCATTTATTAAGAGCTCACTGTGTGCCAGGCAGCACAAGTCCCCTACATGTATTATAATCTCACATCCTGTTGATCTTCACATGTCCCACTGCAGAGCTCTCTACCTTGCAATCTGATTTCCTAGACATGTACAACTAAAACAGCCAAGCTGATGTGGATGGAGAGGCCCCAGGAGCCGGAGCAAGAAACATGGAGAGCTTTCTTACCTGTACAGCTGGCCGGTCTCCTTGCCAGGATTCTGCTGTGCGTCCTCCTCTTCATCAGCACTATAAGATTTGAACTGTGATTTTGTGGTTTTCTGCCGGAAAAATCAGAGTTCACTTAACACAAACTCAGTGCATCAGGTACATCTACAACATACAGAGGAATGAGCTTTAAAATAGACACACACACAAGGACAATTAATTGGAGAAAAACAACTGACCAAATATTGCAGCTTGCCTCACCATCAATAATAAGCATGTCTGTGGCCAAAATTATCTTAAAATATCAAGGCAAAACTGAGGGTTTCATGCTCTAACATTGACTTCTACGCCACATAAAATGTAGGTCTTAGACTATTAGTCATGCATTGAAGGTCTCTGTGAGGGGTAGGGTTAAAGTTGTAATATCTATTTAAATGATTATAAGGGATAAAGTGTCCTCTTATATAGGAAGCTCACTATTCCTTTTGACTTACTTATAAAAGGCAGATTTGATAAAAAAGACAAGTAGTAATTTTTAAATGAATAACTACCACTCCTGCTTTTGTTCAGTGTGCATTCAAAAACCCATCTAAATCAAACTGTTCATTTGAGACTTTGACCCATCTTAATTTCTAGAGCAGAATGAAAATTGTTACCTACAGGAGTCAGGCTGAAAGACTGTAGGACTAACCTTGTGTCTTTGGACAGATTAGCTGTTAGACATAAAACCTCTTAGGAATGATACACTTTCAGCCCCACCACATTGGAGATAACCCCAATATTTGGCAACACACACCTCAACAATACAAATGATAGGGAGGGGCCCTAGTAACTGCAGAAAAACTTGCCACCAAAATTACAGCTTCTACAAACAAAGGTAAGACTTTTAGACAGAGTACCCTGGACATTTTGGGAACATGGCTTAGAAAAGGAAAGGGACTCCAACCCCACATTACCATGGGACCAAATCAACTTCTAGATTTTCTCATTCTCAACAAATAAAAAAATTCAAACTACCCTGTTGGCACAAACACATTCAACTCTACTGCACTGACGGCAAGGCGCCAATTTAGTCTAGAACATTTTTACATCTTATTTATGCCTTGAGAACTTCAGTGCACATGGCGTGGACCCAGGCATCTGATGATCTCATGTTCCAGACTGGCCTCTCACCAAGCTGATAAATTGGCTAATCTCTCAAGCTTCCTATTGTGCTTTTTTAAAGGGTAGGACAAAAACATCTGTCCTAAAGGATTATTATTTTTGTGATGATTAAATGAGATGACATGGAAAGTCATTCTGTAAACCACATAATATTAACTTTCAATTTAAAATACTATTAATACTTATTTAAATAACCTGCAAATAGTCTTGTAAACATTCACTCTTATGACTTGAGACATAATAAATTCTAATTCTATACTAGCAAAGGTACTCCCTAAAAGCTTTACTTTGGAAAATAATTTTAATTTAAATGAGTGGTTGTAATCAAGAAAAGAAATATTCTCCAATTCCGCATATAGTTAGTAATTTGAGGTGTCACAATAATAAATCTGTCTTTCCCAGGTTCATTTTAAAATATAAAATGCAGAAAGTAGAAATAAGTAATGAATCGCCAATGATAGATATGTGGAGAAATGATGATATATTTTCTTTACATACAGTTTTGACACATCTTATCACAGTTAACATACGACATAATCAGTTTTTCATCTTACTTTTTTATTTAATGTTTTGCGTGTTGAGCTCGTCAGAGTGATCATCTTTTTTTTTTTTTTTTTTTTTTTTGTGGTATGCGGGCCTTTCACTGTTGTGGCCTCTCCCGCTGCGGAGCACAGGCTCCGGACGCGCAGGCTCAGCGGCCATGGCTCACAGGCCCAGCTGCTCCGCGGCATGTGGGATCTTCCCGGACCGGGGCACGAACCCGTGTCCCATGCATCGGCAGGCGGACTCTCAACCACTGTGCCACCAGGGAAGCCCAGAGTGATCATCTTTTAATGGCTACATAATTGGCCATTGTGTGAATGAATCATGATTTACTTAAGCAGTCTTTATGGGAGAACATTTTGGTTGTTTTCAGTTTATTATGGCTATTTTGTCCAACCTTTCAATAAATTATCTTATTGATGGGGCAGGAAATTCCAGATACAACATTAATTAAAGTACAAGAAATGGCCTTGGAGAAACCTCATGCATAAAGTTCATCACCCAATAACTGACTTCTTGTTTAACATGTTTTACCTTTTTATTGAAGGTAAAGCATACACTTAGAAAAGCACAGGAATCATAAGTGTACAGCATGATGGCTTTCCACAAAGTGAAACCACCCAAATGAGGAAATGGAATATTATCTGCCCCAAAGCCTTCAGATTCTCCTGTTTGGTCATCACCTTCTCCCCAAAGGTAACTACTATCCTGACTTTTATCCCATAGATTTTTTTTTTTTTGCCTGTTTTTGAGCTTCATATAAACGGACTCAAACTGTATGTACTCTCTTGGGTCTGGCTTCTTTTGCTCAATGTCATGTTTACAAAGATCACACTATTGCATGTAGTTGTAATTTTGTCATTCTCATTGCTGATAAATATTCCCTTATGTGAATACGCCACAATTTTTATTCTTTCTAATGCTGATGGACGTTTGAACTGCCTCCCGTTTGTAGTATTGCAACTAATGCCCCTGTAAATATCGTTGTTTGTCTCGTGACACACGCCTAGCGATGGAACTGATAAGACATGGCTCATAGAGTGGCGTTAGTTGGTACCGGGAAACGGTGTGCGGAAGTAGCTGCACAAAGGCAGGCTCCCATTAGCGGCTGATGAGAGTTCAAGCTGCCCAGCATCCTCACTAACACAGGCTGTTGTCAATCTCTTTATGTTTGCTGTTGTGGTGGGTGTACACGGAATCTCAGCATCATTTTAGTTTGCATTTCCCAGAGGACGGATAAGGGGGAGAACCTTTTCCATATTAGCCACTTGGATATCTTCTGCTGTGAAATTCATTTAAGCCTTTTGCTTGTTTTTTTAAAAATTAGTGTGCTGGGCTTCCCTGGTGGCGCAGTGGTTGAGAGTCCGCCTGCCGATGCAGGGGACACGGGTTCGTGCCCCGGTCTGGGAAGATCCCACATGCCGCGGAGCGGCTGGGCCCGTGAGCCATGGCCGCTGAGCCTGCGCGTCCGGAGCCTGTGCTCCACAACGGGAGAGGCCACAACAGTGAGAGGCCCACATACCGCAAAAAAAAAAAAAAAATTAGTGTGCCTTCTTTATTGATTTATAGGAATTCTTTATATATTCAGGAAAGAAATCCTTTGTGGACTTGTACAGAATATTGAAAATATTCTTTCCCAGTATGCTATTTGCTCTTTGATACTTCTGATGAACAGGAGTTCTTAAATTATAAAATAGTTTAATTATCAACTTTTTCCTTTTCTGGGGTCCTCTTTGAGAAATCTGCAGTTATTCCAAGGTCATGATGATAGTCTCCTGTCACCCTCTAGACTCTTTAAATTACCTGAATTATGCACACTTATCTTCCTTAATTCGTACCTTATGTTTTCCGAAGTTGGTCATGAGGGATCGTCCGTGTGTTTTCTTTCCACTTTCCTTCACATCTGGATGCTGAGTAAATAAAGCATAATATGACTATTTTTCTTCTTTGCTTTTGTTTTCTCCTTAGTTCTGATGGAAGGGCATGGAGTCCCTCTCTCCTTCCATCTCTAGGTGGGCAGCCGGCAGGTCCTGCTCATTTCCTCCTGCTCTACCCTCCACTTCCCTGAAGGTGGCTGTGTCTGCCTTGAGAGAGGGGGGATGCTGCACAGAGAGACCTGGGCACCATCAGGAGATGGTAGCTGCCAACAGCTCCCCAAAGCTGGGGTCAAGGACCTCTCAGTAATGCCCAGGTGTGCAGGCATCTCTAGTGCCTGTTCACAAGGCTCTCTACAGCACAGGATGTATTCTTTTCAATGCCCTGAGGGGGAATAAATCATCTTCAGTTAAAAGTAGATTTAATTTTGAAAAATGGCCACAAGTCATTAACAGCCAATTCAGTTGACTAAAAAAAACTAATCAGACTGATCACTTAATTACTATTTAGAATTTGGAAACATTAAAAACAAATAAAATCCAAGTATATCTATGAGGCAATAAGATTGTTTTTCTTTAAGTAAACTGCAGCAGAGCTTATCTGTTCATTAAAATCATTCCCTCTGTGGTGAGCACAGGAAAGATGTATTGTAGATTCTGAATTCCTCCTCATGTGAATTAATTTTCCAGGCTAGAGATCTCTTTATTCTAGGGGACAGAAAAAAAAAAAAAAAGACCACTCTGCTAAAAGGGTTTAGACTCTTTTTCCAATTGTCATCCCTAAAAACATGTATTAGGTGATTCACTGCTAATTACATGATGTAAGAGGAGACCAATAGGCCCCGCCCTCCCAGAACTTTCAGCTGAACAGAGATAATCTCATAAATGGAATAAATGTAGGTGAGCAAAACCACCCGAAATCAAAAGGTCAGGAAGAGCATCTACATATATCCATAGAAACTAATCAAAGATACAATGCGGGATGGGGAGGGGGAACAGTGAGAACTGGGTTGGGGAAAAGGCAGTTCAGAAAATAGTGGAGGAGGGTGGGTGGCAGGTTTACAGGGTAATTTTAGTTGACTGGTTTATATACCTTGACTGCCTTTGAAGATCAATTAAAGCTGATCATTAACTATTCAAAAACCCTAGAATTAAGAAAGTAGTAAGATATGGTAATAGAAGTAACACTGCTCTTCAAGTTAGGAGACCCAGTTCTGCCACCATGTAGCCTCAGGTCCCCTATCTCTTTTTTTTTTTTATTTTTAAGGTGATTTAAAAGATCATTTTTAACCTATTAGAAAAGTTTTACAGAACTAGGCTTATTCAGTCTGAAGAACAAAGAATTGAAACGGTGTTTTAAGGTGAATGAGAGCCTCTCTGATGGATTTAAGTCTAAGCAGGAAATTATATACATCAATACATTGATGGGAAACAGAAGCTGAACACATAAGAAATACCCTGGGACTCAGAATCAGATGGAAAGAGAGGGATTAATAGGTGAAGCAAAACATAGGAGATTCCAGCACACACTCTGTGCTAAAGACTTGCTCCTCTGGGGTAAACACCCACCTCTTGACCTCAGTCCTCTTATCTGTGACATGGGGGAGGAATGGACCAATTAGCCTCTGAGTTCCTCTCCAGTTCTAGTAGCTCATCTATTAGTAGGGAGACCATGTCATCTATTGTCCAAAACAGGACTCTTAAGAGTGAAATGGGGACTTCCTTGGTGGCTCAGTGGTTAAGAATCCGCCTGCCAATGCAGGGGACACGGGTTCGAGCCCTGGTCTGGGAAGATCCCACATGCCATGGAGCAACTAAGCCCATGCACCACAACTACTGAGCCTGTGCTCTAGAGCCCGTGAGCCACAACTACTGAACCCGCGTGCCACAACTACTGAAGCCCGAGCGCCTAGAGCCCACGCTCCACAACAAGAGAAGTCACCGCAATGAGAAGCCTGCGCACTGCAACGAAGAGTAGCCCCCGCTCACCACAACTAGAGAAAGCCCGCTAGCAGCAACGAAGACCCAACGCAGCCAAAAATAAATACATAAAATAAATAAATCTATTTTTTTTTTAAAAAAAGAGTGAAATCAGGCACCTTTAATAATTACGCTGGGGCAATAGGTATAAAGCGAGGTTGCCCCAAGCAAGTTGAGGTATAAGGTCATCCATTTTAATAGGCACCTGCTATGCCCCAAGGATTATGCTAAGTGTATTACATATATTCTCACTTAATATATACAACCATCCCTGGAGATAAGTATAATTAAAATCCTAGTTTTGCAGATAAGAAAAACAGAAGTATAGTGAAGTTAGATAATATGCCCAAAGTTAGATAATATGCCCAAAGTTACAAAGCTAGTTGGTGATAAAACAGGGATTCTGTGTAGTTCTGTCTCCTCTCTGGCTTTCTCTCCCTCCCCCACTCTACACTCCTTCTTTATGTCCCAGAGGAATACACACAGATATCTCTCCCCAACTTGACCTCTCCTTGAGCATCAGCACTGCATCTTTCATTGAATCCATGGATCAAACACTGTGCTGGGAACTCAACATGAATACAAGGGAGACAGCAAGCAAGAGAGATGTAGACTTTGTCCTCCCTGGGCTTGCACTCTTATGATGGAGACAAATGATCATAACACACTATAATAAGACTATGATGGGGAAAGTTCAGGGTACTGCCTGAGGGCACGGGAAGGCCATCTACCTAGACTTGAGGATCGAGGAGGACTTCTAAGGGGACATGTTACAAAAGCTGAAGCCAGAAGACAGGTAGACATTATCTACGTGAAGTGAGGAAGAGGAAGTGTGCGAGGAAAAAGCAAACACAAAGGCCAAGTGTCAGGAACATGGCACTTTCCAGGAAACAAAGAAAGGCAGGGGTTGGGTTGTGTATTTGTACTGTACACACGCACATTAATGGACAAATCAGAGCTGGGGTCAGATGATGGAGAAAGGATCTTTTGGGCTATAGCTTTCAATTTGAGCTTTATCCTCCAAACTATGAAGAGCATTTGAATGGTTTAAAATAGGAGAATGATGTGATCAGATGCATGTTTCTGAAATATCGCTATGGTAGTGGTATAAATGAGAGACTGGAGGGAGCGGGACAGCAGGAGAGGTGCAAAAGTTCATGTTAGGAATAATTAAGTCTACCCAAATGGCTGTAGCTGGGATGTAAACAAAGAAGTGAATTCAGAACTCTAAAGAAGGCAGGCATCCTTCTACTAAGTTCTTCCAGTGTGAAGGATGAGAATTTCATTTTTATTTTACTTTGGAGATCTCCAGGAAAAAGCTGGCACCAGTAGCACACAGTACTGAACTGCTGAGTGACGATCCAGGAGGGAAAGGAGCGGAAGTGATGAGCTGTCCTGAACCCCACAGCACATTCTCAGCCTTGGCTCTACATGTGCCTATGTATCTGACACAGATGGACTTGTCTCAACAGTAACTTGTCTTTGCTTGCCACTGAACCAAAACCATACTTTAAAAACTAACACAACAGCAGGGTTAAAAACCTTAACACTTCATAGTCCAGTTTATTAAAGTTGCAGGCTCCATTTACTTTCTGCAAGTCTGATACATTCTTGCAGTCACCCAGGTTTAAGGGAGAGTAAAAAATAAGAAAAAGGAGGAGGAGTTTTGTCCTACTACATCTCTGAAATTTGAAGTCCCTTACCATCTTACCTGATAGGGAAATTACCATTAGGATCTCTTCCAGAAAAAGAAAGATGGTCTTGATTTGTTTCTTCAAAAATCCCCAAGACCTGCTGTTGTCTTTCCAGTTGGAATGATCTAGGATGGAGCAAGCAAAGACTTCTCCAAAAGCATAAGGGGAAGTGACTGGCCCAGATTAGCCAAAGAGAATTCACCAGGGCAAGAAGCAGAAATCAAGCCGGGTTAACTGAATGTGATTTTACAGACATTTGTGTGATTTAAACTAAGAGGCTGGAGGGTCAGGGAGGAAAGGGAGAGGCTAACTGGTATTTATAGAAATGTTCAAGAAAATTCAAAATTCTATGATAAACTGTAAGGGCAGTAATGCTGTAAATGACATTTTGGTTGTCTCCCAACATTCCATTCTGCCCCTCCAGCATGCAGGGGCAGAATGCATTTTCAGAGGGGCAGACCTTGGTGCCAGTTCTCAGTGGCATCAGCAAGCCAATGGTATCCTACGCCCTTGCCAAATTACTGTTCCAAGAAGGGCACATATGCAAGGCCACCACAGGGATCAACTCAGGGGTGGGCACATGAGCTAAGATGCCCAACCTGAGCTCAGCACAAACTCTGGTTTGTTGGATGAGGCACATACACTGTCTCACTCTCTCTGTACTTGGACCAAGAAACACATAGCTCAGGGGCCTGTTGGCAGTCACCCTGCAACCACCAGGAGAGGGGGAACCAACATGGGATGATGCTAATCACGTGGTAGGTAGAGCAGAAAGACAGGTCTTTGATGACCCTGCTGAGCCTCTGAATTAAGACCACCTTGAAGGCCACTCTGCAAATGAACTTGCCACTTACCTAACCCAACGCCTTTCTTCATTATTTAAGCCATTTTGAATTAGGTTTTCTATGTTTGGAAACTAAACAGACCTGAGAAACAGCCAGGCGTTTGAATGGCTGGACTTCTGTAGGGTCTAGAAAGTAACCACCAAAGCTGAGTGGTTGCTCAGATCCAAAAATGATGATCTTCCCTCTGCCTGGGGAGCTCTGAGCCCTGGAGGATAGGCGGCAGTAGCAGGGGAGGCTGCTATCAGCTAAGCCAGGGACCACATGGATCTCCTCTGGTCCAGAATAAATGCCCTCAATGTCCTGCCATGATAACATCAGCAAACCCACTATCCCTCTTCCTTGCCCATTTATGATATTTTTATTAGAAAGCAGAATAAAAACCTCAGCCAGAGCCCAAACCATTCATTCACTCAGCAACTATATATGAAGGTCATACTAAGGCCCAGGCACTATACAAGTCAGGAAAACAATGGTTATCAAGACTGACATGGTTCCTGCCTTCAGAGAATCTATAGTCTAGTTGAGAAGACAGATATTGAACAAATAAATGCAAATGTGTAGGGAAAAAAAAAAACTTCTTGAAAAAAGAAGATATAACAGGCTACCATCAACAATATAAAAGGGATAGCTAACCTAACCTACGGGTCAAGGCAGGACTCATTTAGAATACCACATGGATGCTGGAATTTAAAAGCCTAAGTAGGAGTTAGCTAGAGTAGATGTGGAAATGGAGTGTTCCAGGCAGAGAAAATGGAATGTGAGGAAGACCATGGCATTTAGATGGTTGTGGCTGGTGTGACGTCGTGGGTGGTGGTGTGACAGGGAAAATGGGGAGATCTGAGACAGGAGAGGTAGGCAAGGATGGAATTATGCAGGTCCTTGAAAGACCAGTTAGTTTGTAATTTATCCCAAGCATAACAGGAAGCCACTGAAAAATTTTGAACAGCGGAGTGACACGATCAGATTTGCATTTTTAAAACATCATGCTGATTTCAGAGTGAAGGTTAGATTTAAAGAGGGCAAGAGAAGTCTAAGTGAGAGTTGACATTGGCCTGAATTAGGACACAGCCGTGGAGAAGAAGCGGACAGACATACACATTCAGAAGGTGTGATCAACAGGGCATGGAGGTCGCCTGAATGAGTCCCCAACCTTACCTGAGCACAAGTGGGGAAGATGAATGCAGGGGCACTGGGCTTTGTCCTGAGGGTGCCAGTGAAGGAGTATATGAATCATTTCTACACCCACCCATGCACTTTAATCTATTATTCACTATTTCTCTCCATTTTTCAGGAGGAGATTCTCATTTTTCCAGCAATATGAGGATAGAAATGGAAGAAACTGGAGAAGCCTTCCACAAATGACAAATGATCAGAAACAAAGCATGAGGTGCTTTCTTTTTCCTGTTGAAGGACAAGTACAAGAGGGAAATGTATACCTGCTTCAGGTGTGCATTTAAGCCTTCATGCGTGGCCTTCAGTAGTGCCCTCACTGTGAAACTATCAGGATCTTCCTTGTCTCGAATTTGAGATTCTTTTAACAGCGACTCCAGTTTTTTCCTTATGAAAGATTCCACCTGATGCTCAGTGGTCCCGTTATTCTGCGAAGAATTAAACAGTGGAAATAATTTCCCTTAAGGAACACAGAATCACTTAGAACACAGCCTTCACTCAAGCCAACCTTGCTGCTATAATTTCTCTCTCAATTACCTGTAAGAAGTTAAGCTTATTGTACCATTTTTTGTCCTTCTCCCACCAGCCCTCCACCAATCCCATAAAATAATGATGACTATGACTGCATTCAACCTTTAACAACCCTATAGTCTTATTATCATTCCCATTTCAGAGACACAGAATCTGATGTTTAGAGAAATAAGTTGATCAAGGTTACAAAGCTAGCAAAGAACTGAGGCAGGATTCCAACTCAGGGCTCCTAAGTCCTTCTCCCCACACTACTTTACACTTTCACTAGAGGGAAGGCCAAGGAAAGTTCTGGGAGAATAAGTTTTCTGTACCTACATAGGGAAATTTGAACAAGACTATACTATTTAAAACAAATCACTTCCTTCACTGAAGGGAAAAAAGTGCTATGGAAATCGTTGGAAAGGAGGATTATTCTGAGATAAAATGTCTTTCCTATCTCTGCCCCACTATGTAATTGGAGGGAATTCACTACTGACTTGTGCCTTGACTCAGCACTGTAATTACCTTAAGATCACAACTAATTTCAAGTGTTTTGGATAACAAAGCTCTGCCTGTGTCCAGGAGATAATTTACACAATGTTTAAGTGATCAAGGGACCCAGATTTCCTAGAAGTCTGCTTAGTGCAGGTTTTTGGCCCACTTGTTCTACCTGAAACTAACGGCCCAGGCTCTGTTCACTGCTCCTCCCCTTCTCAACTCCCTCCCCCTCCCGCTATGTCCAACACCCTTCCATAAACTCTTCAGCCACTTGCCAAAGGCCAACCCACCCAAAGGCAAGGAAGGGGTGCTCCTCCACCAGAACAATGCCCCTAGTCCTCACCAAAAGTTTAAGATCCATTTTTCCACTTGCAAATTTGTTACTAAGAGGTCATTATATTTAAATAAGAGAATGGGCAGTTTTTCAGTAATGCATTCATTTTCACAAAATCTTATAAGAGCAAAGCAATATAGATACAAAGGGAAACTGGAAAAAAAAAGCTACATCAGAGCAGGTTATTGAATTTCCCTGTATTAATATCACATGCATGAATATCTTTAATATACCCAGTGAATGAGGCACTCCGCTTCACTGGAGGCCCTCAGGTCCTGCAGGAGACACAAAGGTGGAAAAGAGCTGGCCTTTGACATCAGGAGCAAAGATCCCATTAGGCTAACAAAGGCATGTCCCCAAATATCCTACCCAGGTCCACACAGCTGCCTGCAAAAGCACAAATGACCAGCACAACAGTGATTCTGAGAAGGAACACCGCATTCCTGCCTGAGTGACCAGGAAGACCTCAAAGAACAGGGGGGACTCTGTATGGTAACTAAAACTTCAACAGTGATGAAGAGATGTCATCCATCACTCTAGCAAAGGTTTTTACATTAGCAAAGCGTGTTTTATAAACATAGGAACAGATTCGTTTTCCTGGAGCAGAAGTTCATGAAGGGGGGTGGTGGCAGATAAAGTTGGAAAAGTACTTTGGGAACAGGTTGTGGAGGTGCCTGAAAGCAAGAAGTCAAGAAGTGTGGAGTCGCTGAGAGTCTCTGGGTAGACAAGTGCCTGAGTTGCATTTTAGAAATAACAGTAACCAGGCAGCATATACAGACAGAGAAAAGATACCTTACAAATGAAAAGCCAGATGTGAGGATTAGTTCAAGATGGCGGAGTAGAAGGACGTGCTCTCACTCCCTCTTGCGAGAGCAGAGAACACCGGAAAGACAACTAACTGCTGAAAAATCATCGACAGGAAGACACTGCAACTCACCAAAAAAGATACCCCATATCCAAAGACAAAGGAGAAGGCACAATGAGATGGCAGGAGGGGCTCAATCACAATAAAATCAACTCCTATAACTGCTGGGTGGGTGACTCACAAACTGGAGAACACTTACACCACAGAAGTCCTACCACTGGAGTGAAGGTTCTGAGCCCCACGTAAGGCTTCATAACCCGGCGGTCCGGCAACAGGAGGAGGAATTCTTAGAGAATCAGACTTTGAAGGCTAGCAGGATTTGATTGCAGGACTTCGACAGGACTGGGGGAAACAGAGACTCCACTCTTGGAGGGCACACACAAAGTAGTATGCATATCAGGACCCAGCGGAAGGAGCAGTGACCCCATAGGAGACTGAACCAGACCTAACTGCTAGTGTTGGAGGGTCTCCTACAGAGGCAGGGGGTGGCTGTGTCTCACCGTGGGGACAAGGACACTGGCAGCAGAAGTTCTGGGAAATGCTCCTTGGTGTGAGCCCTCCCAGAGTCCACCATTAGCACCACCGAAGAGCCCACATAGGCTCCAGTGTTGGGTGGCCTCAGGCCAAACAACCAACAGGGAGGGAACCCAGCCCCCAGCCTCAGCAGACAAGTGGATTAAAGTTTTACTGAGCTCTGCCCACCAGAGCAACAGTCAGCTCTACCCACCACCAGTCCCTCACATCAGGAAACTTTCACAAGCCTCTTAGATAGCCTCATCCACCAGAGGGCAGAGAGCAGAAGCAAGAACTACAACCCTGCAGCCTGTGGAACAAAAACCACATTCACAGAAAGACAGAAAAGATGAAAAGACAGAGGGCTATGTATCAGATGAAGGAACAAGATAAAACCCCAGAAAAACAACTAAATGAAGTGGAGATAGGCAAACTTCTAGAAAAAGAATTCAGAATAATGACAGTGAAGATAATCCAGGACCTCAGAAAAAGAATGGAGGCAAAGATCGAGAAGATGAAAGAAATGTTTAACAAACACCTAGAAGAATTAAAGAAAAAACAAACAGAGATGAGCAATATAATAACTGAAATGAAAAATACACTAGAAGGAACCAATAGCAGAATAACTGAGGCAGAAGACTGGATAAGTGACGTGGAAGACAAAATGGTGGAATTCACTGCTGTGGAAAAGAATAAAGAAAAAAGAATGAAAAGAAATGAAGACAGCCTAAGAGACCTCTGGGACAACATTAAACGCAACAACATTTGTATTATAGGGGTCCCAGGAGGAGAAGAGAGAGAGAAAGGGCCTGAGAAAATATGTGAAAAGATTATAGCTGAAAACTTCCCAACATGGGAAAGGAAATAGACAGACACCCAAGTCCAGGAAGTCCAGAGAGACCCATACAGGATAAACCCAAGGAGAAACACGCCGAGACACAGAGTAATCAAACTGGCAAAACTTAAAGACAAAGAAAAACTGTTGAAAGCAACAAGGGAAAAACAATCAATAACATAGAAGGGAACTCCCATAAGGTTGACAGCTGATTTCTGAGCAGAAAGTCTACAAGCCAGAAGGGAGTGGTATGACATATTTAAAGTGATGAAAGGGAAGAACCTACCACCAGGATTACTCTAGTTGGCAAGTATGTCATTCAGATTCGATAGAGAAATTAAAAGCTTTACAACAAGCAAAAGCTAAGAGAATTCAGCACCACCAAACCAGCTCTACAACAAATGCTAAAGGAACTTCTCTAAGTGGGAAACACAAGAGAAGAAAAGGATCTACAAAAACAAACCCAAAACAATTAAGAAAATGGTAACAGGAAAATACATATCAATAATTACCTTAAACGTGAATGGACTAAATGCTCCAACCAAAAGACACAGGCTTGTTGAATGGATACAAAAACAAGACCCATATATATGCTGTCTACAAGAGACCCACTTCAGACCTAGGGACACACACAGACTGAAAGTGATGGGATGAAAAAAGATATTCCATGCAAATGGAAATCAAAAGAAAGTTGGAGTAGCAATACTCATATCAGAAAAAATAGACTTTAAAATAAAGAATGTTACAAGAGACAAGGAAGGACACTACATAATGATCAAGGGATCAATCCAAGAAGAAGATATAACAATTATAAATATATATGCACCCAACATAGGAGCACCTCAATACATAAGGCAACTACTAACAGCTATAAGAGAGGAAATCGACAGTAACACAATAAGAGTGGGGGACTTTAACACCTCACTTACACCAATGGACAGATCATCCAAACAAAATTAATAAGGAAACACAAGCTTTAAATGACACAATAGACCAGATAGATTTAATTGATATTTCTAAGACATTCCATCCAAAAACAGCAGATTACATTTTCTTCTCAAGTGCGCATGGAACATTCTCCAGGATAGATCACATCTTGGGTCACAAATCAAGCCTCAGTAAATTTAAGAAAACTGAAATCTTATCAAGCATCTTTTCTGACCACAACACTATGAGACTAGACATCAATTACAGGGAAAAAACGTAAAAAACACTAACCCATGGAGGCTAAACAATACATTACTAAATAACCAAGAGATCACTGAAGAAACCAAAGAGGAAATAAAAAAATACCTAGAGACAAATGACAATGAAAACATGATGATCCAAAACCTATGGGATGCAGCAAATGCAGTTCTAAGAGGGAAGTTTATAGCAATACAAGCCTACCTCAAGAAACAAGAAAAACCTCAAATAAACAATCTAACCTTACACCTAAAGGAATTAGAGAAAGAAGAACAAACCAAACCCCAAGTTACCCAAAGGAAAAAAATCATAAAGATCAGAGCAGAAATAAATGAAATAGAAACAAAGAAAACAATAGCAAAGATCAATAAAACTAAAAGTTGGTTTTTTGAGAAGATAAACAAAATTGATAAACCATTAGCTAGGGGCTTCCCTGGTGGTGCAGTGGCTGAGAGTCTGCCTGCCGATGAAGGGGACACAGGTTCGTGTCGCGGTCTGGGAAGATCCCACATGTCGCAGAGCGGCTGGGCCCATGAGCCATGGCCACTGAGCCTGAGTGTCCAGAGCCTGTGCTCTGCAACGGGAGAGGCCACAACAGTGAGAGGCCCACGTACCGCCAAAAAACAAAAACAAAAACAAAAAAAACAAAAACCATTAGCTAGACTCATCAAAAAAAGAGGGAGTGGAC